AAAGAGTCTTACTGGAACAGTACAGTGAGGAGGTAGTACACGTACCAGGATTTAAGATGCAAAAACAATAGTTACAATCATAGTAATAAGGAACAAATAATTTAAATAATGCTGATGTTCATTATAGCAAAACGTGCTCTATTTCTAATGGGTGTCCTACTGCATTTCTGTAGAAAAGTGTCAGGAGGAAAAAAAATATTTCAGGGCAATATTTGAAGGATACTACTGGTCCCTGTTAATACACAATCCTTATGTATTGGTATCAAGTTTTTGCAGTTCAGTAACTAAACCCAGTCACAGCTATACTAGACACTGCATAACCAGCAGTGCTGTCAGAATGAGGGCATCACATTTCCATCTGCATCTTTTCCCTTCAGTATTTATTTCTGTGGGAACACAGAGTAAGGAAACAAAATGAAGGGACTAAGCATTTTTTTATACTTTAGATTTATGAAAATAGACAAGTGGTTTCTTGATGACCTATTAAGTAAGGAGTTTTCAGGTACGGAGATGAGTTTTTACTGTTCTCTAGTTCTACATGCATAAAGCTATTCCAGCTGAATGGTAACATCATCTACTATTTATCAGTGTTAACACACTGAAGACCTACCAAGCTGCTGCTTCTATAAGAAAAAAAAAGAAGAAACCAAAACATGCAGGACACAAAAATATGGCTCGAATTGCATTCCCTTCTAAAGGCAGCATGGATAAGAACATTGGAGAATTTTAAACTCATCCTAGTAGATGAGAAAAACAATATTTTTCTTTAATATGGGCTTGTGACATTAACAAGCAGTAGAGATGTCAGGCCTCAGAAAAACACCCAAATCTTAAGATCACAGAAAGATATGAAAGTTAAGGAGCGTTTACAACCTGCAATGGGAAATGGTAGTATAAAAAGGCCTTGAGAACAATGAAGGTACTTAAGAATTTTAACCACTTCCAACACAATATAAGAATCAGAAGCTTAAGTTGTCCCAGATATCTGGGTTAAGGAAAGCTGTTAATTTGCAACTAAGTGTACATGTCTAGAAGCTTTCAGTGATGTGGGAAGATGTTGTAATAAATTAATTAAAAGCTCTCCAGTCCAGGAAATTTGAAGACACCTTGCTTTTTACTCCTGATATTCTTCTGCCATTATTTCAATTGCCATGTCTACTCACCTGTGAACTGTCCAACCTGCTGCTGATATGGATTCTGTGGCTGATCCTGATACTGGGGGGGTGGCCGAGTCAGATGCCGCTTCAGCTGCTGCTCCTGCTGCTGCCGCTGCTTCTCCTAGGAAAGGTGCAATGCAAGACAATTAGAAAACAAGTTAACCTTTTTCCAGGGGTGACTATCTCGGACAGAAGCAAGCTATCTGGATACTTTTACACCAAGCTGGTAATTAAAGGGCCTTCTGCAGCCTTAAAGTCATTCAGATCTTTGTACCCAAGGTACAAACACAGTCAGTTTAATCTGATGAGTGACAAGACTAAAAGCACAGAGACAAAAGGACAACAGCCCACATTTCAGGAGCTAGCTCTTTATATAGCTCTTGTTTTAAAAAATGAAAAAAATATACAAACCCTTAAATACCACACGTTTTCCTAGAAGACTATGGAAAACTGCACAACTATGTTTATAACATAAGCTATAAAAGGTTTGTTACCACTGCTAAAAACCATTTTCTTAACGACGCACCAGTAATGGACACAAACCCTACTAATGATTCAAAATAACCTGCCTCTTTGAAAGCACATTCAACTTTTATCTACTTTATGATAAAAATATTTGAAAAATAAAACAAGCACATTTCATTTGGGAAACTCTTGGGGGAAATGAAACTGAGGGGAATGTTGAGAGTGTGTGCAGGTGCACTAAGAGTACAGTCAAATCCTGACAGCACGAAAAGCCCACAGGCTGCTTTTATAATATCAAACATATCAGGCAGAGCATTTCTGGCTCTTCTTCCACAGGTACCTTCAACTGGACTGGTCTTCTGAGCTAATTAAATAGTGATACTTACCTAAAGCGATACTACTGATAGTTATCTGAAGTTGCACAGAGCACAGAAATTCCCTTCTAAGAGCAGAGGGGCAAAGACACAAGCAATAAGCCTTTAAAGAAGAGACAGTGCAGTGTAATGAATGGGCAGATTCACATTTACTATCATCCTTTTGAAATATCTAGAACTAAGAAACTGTTGAGACATGCAGAGGAATGAAGAGGGCAGGCTGCTTGACAGAAAGGACCTGCTACTTGCAGGACCAGTCAAACCTGAAAGAGGCTGACCACAGAAGCCAAGGAGAGATGCCACAGTTTTGAGAGGAACCCAGAACTGCAGAACCTGGCTCATAACAAAACAAAAGGCAGACTATCAAATGCAAATAAAGCTTTAGTGTCACAGGGAATGGCACTAACGTGACCTGAAACTGAAGTTCTGCTGCAAAATAGAGATCCACTCATTCAGAAATCTTTTTGTAAAACTACATCCCGTATCACACGTATCCAGAGAAATATAAAACTAGAATGCTAACAAGATCTAACCTGACTGGGCAACATGAGGGCAAGAAAGGTGGCAAATGCAACATCCAAGGCTCTTCAGCTCCAAAGCAAAGCTGCTCCTTATTTGGGATCAGAGACCCAGTATCACTATGCAGAATTGAAGATAGGTGTCCCTGCCCATGCAGGGAGGATGCAACTAGGTGATCTTTCAGGTCCCTTCCAACTCAAACCATTCTGTCATTTTATGTAGAAACTAGATGTACTTGCCATAAGTAGGACAGTAATAAAATATTTTCATAATACTGATCCTACAGCAACATGTGCTGGCTAAGCAGCTGCAAATGTGTGAAAAAATCTATTTTGACACTGCTTGAGATATTTATCAATATAAGCAATATTTCCACCACAATATTTCCTTGCCCAAATTGTGTTTTTACCCAACTATCAAATATCTTTACCAATGTTTGGACTATTTTCTTTAAAACTTTGCCAAGCACATTCTTATGATTTTATCTACACTGGGTCAAGAACTGAAGGAGCTTTTCTGTCACCTCAATCTAGTCCTCAATTTTAACACAAGTCTTTAAGTGATCAGAAAAGCTCTTAGATAGGACTTGGCACAGTCACAGCTCCACAATACTGCAGATTCTACTATCCTCTCCCCTCAAAATATTCTCCACAACCAAGATTTCAGTTCAGAGGAGACTCTATCATTTCCCTCTTTCTTGAATAAAGCTTCTGATGGACAGTTGCTGCAATAAAAGTTAAGGTGTCCACGCACACAACCATTACCTGACCGTCTCTCACCACCTCTATTTTCCAAAGTACTATTTCCAGTGAAAATCTTGTCTACCAGGATTTTTTCTAACAACTCGCAACTCTAAAAGCTGTGAACATTCCGATTTATCACCTTTTAACAGTGCTGAAAATTAAGGAAATTACACATTCCCAACTGTTATTAGGTGAAGGACTTCTGAACATTTACATTTTTTAATTTTAAATATTATTTTTTTGATTCTCAGAGGAAAATGTGAGGTTTCGGGTTTTTTTTTCACTAAGTCACTGACTCTTTTTTTTCCCCTCCCATTATCCCCTAAGACAATGCTTTCCATGGCTCTTCATTCCCTCTCCCTCCCACCATTACCTTCAAAGACAAAGCTTTCAGTAGTGCAGATCAATACACTTTTTCCAGAAGACGTGAATACCAGATCTCCCTGGGTCACACAAGTCTTTGAAAATTTATCTTCCCCCTCCTCCATTCCAGATTCTGATAATGTCTCTATATGCACAGTGTCAGTGCCTGGGACATGCCTCCATGAACTCTTAAAAATGCAGAAAAGCACTGATTTTACAGGAATCATGTCCTTTGGGCTGATTCCCTGCTGAAAGACTTGTAAAAGTTTTAAATCTTAGAAAGGTTCACACAAGGAGCCTATTTCCCCTGAGAGATTTTAAAACAGCATTCTGCAGTTTGATGGACAGCAGAGTTAATTTGTTTTGGCAGGATAAGATGCAAGCTGGATGCAGATGACTATTTATTTTCCTCTAACAAGTGAAAAGTGTGTTAAAACTTGAAACATGAACTGGTGTGGATGTCACAGGGAAGAAAGGCAGAAGGCCCAATAAGCTTAGAGTCCCTTGCTTATTGCTTCCATTTTTAAAACTCTACAAAACACATAAACAGTATCCCAAACTTAGATTTTATTTTTGCTCCAATTTAATTTGCATTTCTCCTTCCACAAAGCATTACACCATTGATGGTATGGTTCCTTCTCTCCATGTAGATATTGTACTGCATTTTCACACTACTCAATTCTACCCATTTTATTCACCACTGTGCTTTGTAACAGCAGAAACAATGAAGCCTTGCCAACCAAGTGCTATGTTTTTAATTACTTTTATAGAAACATAGAACAGCAATTATACTTATGATACCAGAGTGCCTTTTATTCTTTACTTAGAATAAAGAAAACCTACATTCCTTATTTTGTAATGTGATAACTATTCAATACAATCTTAAATCCTATTTCAGTCCACCAAAGTAAATCAGTGCAAAGAAAAAAAGCCTTCTGGTCCCTCTCACCTGCTCAGCCAGAAGGTGTTGCTGTCTCTGCTCCATTAGGAATTGCTGCTTCTGTTGCTCCATGAGCAAGTGCTTTTGTTGCTTCATCACTGCTGCTTGCTGCTGAGTGCTGAGATAAGGTGTGTTGCTGTGGTTACCTGCCATGGAGACGTTGGGAGCCTGGGCATTCACACCAGGGCCCGGGACAGAGACAGGAACACGAGGAACGTTAGAAGGGTTTTGATCCTGCAAAGTGTAGAAAACCAGAAAGAGGTTAGTCTTCTAGAGTTTAGAAACTATGTAACTACACAGATGAGGAAAGGCACTTCAGTGGTGATGAAAACAACTTGTATTATTTTAATCATTATTAAATCACTTTTACAGACAAAGTCTACACCAGGAGGGGAATCAACACATCTCAGAAAAATAGAAATTGACAACTACTGCTTATTTGTATATTTACATTATTTAATAAAAATTAGATCAGTTCCTTACGCTTTGCCATCTTTATGCAACAATGTCTTCACCTGTGAACCTTCTAACAGAAAAGGCAAAGTGTGATACAGTTCCCAATTCAGCTAATTAAAGACAGCCAAAAATCCATCTATAAAGTGCCAGACACAGGAGTGACAGATCAGTCAGAAACTCCACAACTTCTGTTCAGCCAGAGATTGTTACTTCTGCTAGCTTGTAAAGACAGTAAATGTTTTTGTGCCTTAGGAAGCACACATTGATCTCAGATTTTTATTTGTACATCAGTGTGGTCTTCATCATACACTAATCAGATCTTTTTCACTGGTGGTTGGTTTTGTTTGGTCGAGGGGACATGTTACTAGCATTGGATTTCCAACAGCTTTTACTAGAGAGCTTTAATCCTTGTAACAAAGACCTTTCTTTTTTTTTTCAACAAGGCCTCTAGTATGTGCACTGCAGGCACGATACAGAATCCCAACAAGTCTGTACCTCCACTCAATACCTAATTTCCACCTACAAAATACCTGTAATATCAGTTCTATGCAAGGCAATGCAGCACCCTCTGGAATTTTCCTTTACAGGAAAACCTGAAGCATATTGCTTCAAGCAAGCAACTATCACTATAACTCATTCTTAAAGATTTATTTCTTTTATATCCCATGCTTCCCGAATCCTCGCAGGTTTAACCAACAACAAATGCTTAGATTTGAAAAGCCCTAAGGAACACCCAAAAAATCAGGAATGCAGCCCCCACTTCCATCTCTTTCCAAAAAAGCTGCAACCAAAGGTATGTTTTTTTATAGTAAGCCAACTCTGACACAAGTAGGGACTAAAAAGAAGGTAAAGAAATCAAAGCTTCTTTGAGAACACTATTTAACACTACAGTTTTACATGAGTTATTTTAGGCAAAAGTTTACAAAGCATCTATTTATCTTTGTAAGTGGAAGCTTTTATGAAGCGTGACATAATTTGTTGACCACGAAGTATATTAAGCTGGAAATCACACATTACCACATGACCTAGAACCAAGTATTACAAGCTGTCCCCACAGGAAAACAAGAGTTCTTGATTCTTATCTTATTGCATATAATAATTTTCTTCTTTAAAATCTTTTGGCAACTGTTTTGAAACAACACTAAGTGATCTGTACCCTAACCTTTACCTATCTGACCACCCTCTTGCAAAACCTTAAAACTGCTACTAAACAAAGGTTAAAAACCCCAGAACATTCACCTGACTGTGTGGCAGTCGGTAGGTAATGTTTCCAGGCTTGGGTTTCAACAGGATCATCCCATTTTGGTCATCACTCACATGAGAGAGCGGTGCCTGCTGGTGCTGCTGGATGTATGCCAACATGGGAGCCTTGTTCTGACCTGGTACTGTCACCCCCTGCTCACATTCTGCTTTGTAATGTGAAAGAGGTTTGGTGTTCCCATAGTCTAGCATTGAGCTTTGACTATTCACAGGGTTCTGGTTCAAGCTGTTTTGCTGATGACCCAAAATGTTCACATGGTAATTGCCTCCAGCTCTTGGGGAGCTTTTATTTCCCAAATTAGACATCATGAGTTTTTGATTGTTGAAGTCAGGCTGGTAAACTGATGGGCTTGTGGGATTTTCCATGGTATACGGGACAGCCAGTGGACTATGAGAAGGCCCAGACTGTTGCCACGTAGACATCTGATTCGTTTGGTGGACTTGTGAAGCTTGCTGCTGGTTCTGCAGCATCTGGTCTCTCTTCTGCTTGGCAGCAATCTGCTGAAGTTGATGAGCAGAAGACATTTCTTTGGCACTTCCTGCACCCTTCCCAGGTAACAACACATTGGAGTGAGGCCTCTGGACGTTCTGAGAGTGGTTTGATGCCTGCATCATGGGCTGATTAGGGTTTTCAGTCAGTGACTGACTGGAAGGCTGAAACATAGCCTGAGAATTACCAACTGCTGGAGAAGCAGCACTTACAGGTACAGAGGCAGCACCAATAAATGCTGGACCTGATGAAGTGGATCTCACCTGGGGAGATCCCATCTGTTCCTGTTCAAAGCGTGCTGGGGAAAACTCAGTCTTTATATTAATATCTTGTGGCAATGGAGTCTGTGCAGCTGAATTTGAAGAATCTGCATCTTTTTTCTCTTCAAAATCTTCATTAAAGAGATCCTTCATGTCTTCATCAGGCACTGATCTATTAAGCTCCTCAATAAGTTCCTTCCATTCCT